GCCCCCGCCGCCCCTCTCCTTCCCCTGCCACCTCTGCGGCGCCCACTTCCCCGCCGCCGACCTCCGCGACAAGCACCGCCTGTGGCACGCCGTGCGCGAGGAGCTGCTCCTGCCCCTCGGCCCGCCCGACGGCGCCGCGGCCCCCGGCGGCGAGCAGCAGATCTTCTCCTGCAAGCACTGCCCCGCCACCTTCTTCAGCTCGCCCGGCCTCACCCGCCACACCAACAAGTGCCACCCCTCGGAGAACAGGCAGGTCCTCCTCCTCCAGATGCCCCTCCGGCCCGGCTGCTAGGCGCCAGGGCCTTGATCGTGCGATAGGATCTCTTCGCCCGCTCGACCAGACCCGACCCGACCCGACCCGACCCTCCGCCCGAACGAATCCTATCCGGACTGTAATTCCTATGGAAAGTCGCAGTGCGCGGCCAAACGGAGCCCACACAGACTCGCAACGGTCGTCACGCCAAGAAGAGTATTAACGTCTGAGCACGAAGCCTCCTGGCTGCCTTATAATAGGGGGTTCGCTGGTGCGCACGGTATGTTCTGTGAATCAAATCCCCCCCCCCCCTCTCCCGGCACGGAACGCGTCCCGTTTTCAGCGAAGGAAGGAAGGAAGGGGAAAACTCAAGCTTGCTCCAGAAAGAAAGCGCCCGCTCCGCCTGACCACTGAGCGCTGCAACGTTGCCTGTCCGTGAAGCACTCTCTAGCCAAGCCCAGAGCCACCTGCGTGCCTGCCTGGCATGTCCGTGTCAGCTTTCTGGGGAGAGCCGGACGGGCGGGCGACTTGTTTCATTCTGGTTCCTCCCGCTCCCCCCCCCCTCCGGATCAAAGTGATCTCCCGACCCTGTATTTAACGAAGGTGTGTTCGTTTTCATTAGTTGAACCTGCTGTTGCAGCCTCCGAGGTTTATAACCTTTTCATTTGTGGTGAAGTGTTTTATTCGTTGTGTCCTGTATTAAAATATCGCTGGATATTCGTAGCAAAGTCAAAGTCCCCGTCCTTTCTATTTACACATTAAATACGAACCTGGGCCCCTTCTGTCTCCTCTTCCTCATTACTGGCTATTAAAAACCTGGACTGGTGATCTTTTGTCGTCATGCGCTTCTTTTTTGAGTACCTTGTGCTGTACTCGAAGTTTATGGAAAGGCAACCTGGGAATGGAAGGGGTGGTGTCACCTCTCCCCCCAATCTTCCAGAGTCAGCCGGGATCCAGACCATCAGCAGACTCATCCAGTGAGCTCTAGGAAGTTTAGGCTGGTTTTTCTGAATAGGCCCCCTTCCAATGTTTGACCAACTATTTTCGAAACTGAAGGCATTTCCAAAAGCAGTTTGCAACATGGCAGAGAGGTCAGCCCCTTCAAGAAAAAAAGGCAAATTTTTGACTGGGATACCGCAAGCCCTTTGCCCAGAGGCGTCTTCCGATCCCAGCATATAATTCCCACTTGATTGCATTTGACACTTTTTTGAGAAATTCTGGCAACCAGAAATAAAGGCATGCACCTTCTCCCTTCAAAATGCACTAAAACTTTCTCCCTGAAGTTGTTTTTCAGTTACTTCTATATTTTTAGCTTTATAAAAAAATGAATTAATTTTGCATAATCTTTTTATTTATTTAATTTATTATTTTTTTTAGCCAGACAAGGTAACCGATCCATTGCTGTGATGTTCAATGGCAAATTAGTAGAGGTGGCAAAAAACTGCTTCCCTTTCAGTTTAATTGTTGGGATAATTTCCCACTAGTTTCTGGTCAGGTGAAAAATACAACATGCATAATGAAGGATAATTCAAGATGAATTTAGCTTTGAGCCCCCCAACTCATTTAAGAGAGCACCTAAGAAGCCTTTTCCCTGCAAATCAGCTGACAAGTGTGGTCTTAAAGAAGCTATCTCCTTAAATATTTGAATAGTGTAAGAAAAAAAATAACCCCCACCTTCCTTCCAAATGGGTACTTGGGTAATTTTTCACATTTTTGTAGGAATTTGAACTGCCTTTGGCAGTGATGGTGCTGGTATTTACACACAGCAGCAAGAAAGCACTGCTGAATTGTGAGAACAGTTTACCAGCACTCAGCTGTGAACACTGAAGCCAACCTCACTTTGCCCATGACAATCCCCAAAGGGTTGGGAAACAGAAACTTCTGTAGAAGGATATTTTGCAAATGCTAAAGGAGGTTTTCAGGCAAAATTAATTCAATGGGACAATTGCTATATGCTTTACTTGGTGCAAAGCCTATCAAACGTATTGAGCCAAAAGGTTTTAGATGGGAACAACTAACGGGAGAGTCTGTGAATGAGATTGTTAGCTCTCAAGAAGCTTGCCGTAAAAATCTCAGCAATCCCTTATCCAAGAGACAAGCCGTTCCATGACTGCTCTTCACCCTCCTCACAGAGCTAGGCAAATTGCTATTGATTGAAGCATTTCCCAATGTTTGTAAGTGGAATACAGAGTATACAGAAGATGGTAAGAATAATTTTATTGTATTATTAAATAGCATGTCTTTTCTTCAACCATTACAAATTTGTATATACTACACGGTGAACAAATACATCAATATATATTTCTATAGTTGCCCAAATGAGGGGCAGGTATTTACACATGCAGTTAGTACCGGTGCCATGCTACATTTTGTTAGAGTGGAATATGGCAGACAACACAGTTGTATGTCTTCTTCGGTAGGAAAATATCTCTGGGGATAGTGGGAGTGTGAGGTGGAATGTGTTTGCGTAGACAGCTGCAGCTATAAGGGCACAGTCCCTTTTCCCTCCGGTAATGGTACATAGCTCAGAGCAATGACTTGACATGGCAAAGTGCTTGAAGACATGTGAGTGTATACGTATTTTACAGAGAAAGGAATAGCCTCATTTTGGTGGAAGGAGGAATTGCGTCCTGTGGCCATAACTCCCAACTGCAAAGCAAAAACTAGCAAGAGAAAGTAGAAAGTTTGCAATTTAGCACCAGGATTCTGTTATTGTGACTGTCCAGTAGTGAATGACAGTAACAGAGGTGGTGCTGGACCTGTTTACTTGAAAGGGTTTATTCATATCACAAACATACTCTGTACATAATTTTATGCAATTTTGAACATCACCTTTGAAGAGGACTTCACAGACACATCTTCATTGGAAAAGTAGTACATTCATTTGCAAATGGTACATGTTTTATTATTGAGAGGGTTGCACAATAAATAGAGCAGAACATGCCTGCAGTCTCCAGCTCCGGGGTGGCTAGCAACCAACTGCAGAGGTTAAAACAGAGTGGCTGCTGTTGAACATCTCACAAGAAAAGGTAAAAGATGCAGAAAAGGATTGCACTGACAAACTATGGCAGCAGGAAGTCTGATTAAAAAAAATATTCTAACAAAAGCTAAAATATTTTCATTGTGAAAATTCCAATATGGTTTTCTAAAATAAACCTAAGAGTGGATGACTGTGGGGAAAATATTCTCTTTAGGCACAGGAATAGCATGAGAAGATGCTGCAGGTGTCATTCCTTCTTAAGTCTTGTTGGCTGAACCAGAGGAGCGGCGCAGCTTCATAGACATGCGGCTCTTGCTAGTCCGGGGAGACATGGGGAAGCCTAGATCGGGCCCGTCCATCTGCGCTGCTGCTGGAACTTCGGACGCCTGAGTCTCTGGGTAGGAGCCTACAGGGAACAAGAGCGACCCCACATATTAAAGCAAATCTGCTTCAGCAGGGAATCAGGAACACCCCCCCCCCAGCAATCAGCTGCTTCTTTGGCGCAGGCAGGACAATGTTAACTCAGCTGGCCAGAACCATCTCAAAAAACCCAGTACATCTCAAGTAGTCAAGCAAAGCCTGTGTTTGTAAGGCTGATGGGTGGCCTAAGCTTAAAATCCAAGGTCTGTGACAACAAAGCAGGTGGAGGCTAGGTTGGGGAGGTACTGAAAAGGTTCAGGCTCACATCTATTTTCTTCTCTATGTTCTCATAAAGGTCAGAAGTGTGAACAGATCGTGCTAGTTGGATACTACATGGTTCATTATCTTTGTAAAAAGAACAAGATGAATTTGAGAGGCAGCCTGGTTGAGACCCCAAAGAAGTCATTTCCCTTAGATGGGACTCCAAAGGAGAAGGGCAGCAACAGCAGCACAGGAGTTAGATTTGATAGCTATAGCAGTGGCAGACTTCTATAGATGAAAAAAAGGGCCATGTTTCATGGGGCAAGCGTCCATTAGTCTAAGTATGTGCAGTCCTTTCATTTAATCACAATTGTTAAATTCTTTATTCTTTGCCCACTACACAGTATAGATTACCTGAACATACCTGTAAAGATATCACTGTAGTTAGGCACCAACTGACTGCAGCTGAAGTTTACAAACAGGTACCAGCTGCCCATACCATGAACAATGCTACTTCTGTCCCAAGTTCAGACATTCTCAGCTACATGTGAAGAGCTACAAATGCAGGAATCCTAATTTGTCTGCAGGACAGGTACCCATTGTCACAACTACAACTAATGGTTGCCTGCTTTCTGGTTTTCAGCAACGATGCAAACACAAGGCGATACCACAGTTAGCTAACACGCAGTTCTTACAGGAAGAAAAAAAGTCAAATTTTGATCCCAAACACACATGGACATAAAGTCAGCTTATTTTAGAAAGTCTTGTACACATGCAATACCCACCCACCTACCCAACTAAGGGATCTGGAGCCAAGCACTGCACCGCAGTCCTTTTGAAAACAGTCCCCCCATCCAAATTGTGCGAATATACATTTATACTAATTTTAATGTTATATCCCAGTATATTAAATGCGTATTTTAGACTTTAAAAAAATCAAAAAAATATTCTTCAGGGGTATCACCATAATAAATCATTGAGGACATCCATGCCCCAAAGTTATTTAACAGAATTTATTCATTAGATGAGCTCCAAAGAACCCCAATGCTCAAGTGAAAACACAGTGAGGTGGGAGGGGTTGCTGATTTCCCCCCTTCCAGCTGCCTCCCTACCAACCATATCAAATCATGCTCAAAAGGATACCCTGACTTTTCAAGGGATATGCCGGGGTGGCAGCAGAAAAAGGGTCAGAACAAGCTTTAGCTCACGTATGATTCTCAGCCATACTAGGGTAGGGGATGTTGAAAAGGCTTATGAGAAAATGCACGGAAAATGAGTTAGGATGCTGCTTTTAAACCAACTTCTGAAATAATTTGGATATTTAATATTGTTACAACTTTGTGAGAAATGTGTTGATATCAGAAAGCCACTCTAAATAAATGTTTGCGCTAATTCTATAGTAAAGAAAACCCATGCATCTGTGCTTCTGCTGAAGGGAGATAAATCTCAGGATGCATTTCTTGCTTTCATTCTGCTAGATTTCCTAAAGAGGTTACTGCAAGCCATGATGGCCGGGTCAGAAGTCTAACACTGCTTTTAAAAGCGCACTGCTACAAGCCTGATCTAATAACTCAGATGATATTGCGTCTCCTTTGCCCCAACACTTTCTGAAACTGGCAACATTCGTCCCTTTACTCTTCAAATGGGGATGTTTCTCTTTATGACCCAGGCATTGCACCTTCAAACAATCAACACAGGCACAAAAGTGGAAAATTTATTCTGCCTTTTAGAAGAGAGAAAAAAATATACATGGACACGCACTTTGAATACCCCACTCCAGTGTTCAGAAATTCTTTCTTGTTCTAGTTTTACAAGGAGCCAAAGCGTTTAAAAATGGTGGGGAAGAGCAAAAAAAGTGACCGTTGGTGTTCTGCACAGCATACCATTCATAGCTAGCGTGAAAGACCTTCCATTTCAAGCCTTTGCCCTTTACCTTGAAGTGGCCAATGCTTTCTAGTGGTGGCTTGGGAAGGAGAAGAAATATCACACCATTTCTTTCTTTGTTGAGAATGGAGAAGTGATGAAGGAGAGGTGGACAGAAGTGAGGAAAAGGGAAGAAAGATAAAAAAGATAACAGGTGTGAGACGTGAGACGAACGGCAGAGGTTGGAGGGCATTTACAGATGAGTACAGAAAAGAGAAAATTAGAATTTGTTATGTTGCTACTGTGCATGCTAAAGGTTTAAAGAGGGATGCGTTAGTATGCAAAAATGAGCCAACAGCTTGACAATCAGGAAGAATACTCACCGTCTACAGGTTTACAAGAAAAAAGAAAAGAAAAAAAAGAAAAGAGTTCTATAAAAATAGTTTTGATCCAACAGCCTTTTAGCTACAAATATGATACATCCATTATGTTATGACCACATTTCAATGTTTCTGAAATAACACAGTACTACCAAAAATTGTTAGTGTTCACAAGAGTTGGAGCTTACTAACAAGCAGCTTTTTCACCTCATAAGAAAAACGAATTAGGCTCCCTTTAAAATTTCTGTAGAGAGACTTTGACCTTAGACCTCACCAACTTGCAAAAGAAATATAAATGTTAAAACCAGAGGAGTAGGGTAACAATTTTATTAGGACAATCAAAACAAGATGAAATAGTGAGCATATTTTCAGTTTATCAGAAGTTTTCATCAGTATGGATATTAAGAAAAATAAGACCCCTCCCAAAAAGAAAAGAGATTGGAGAGAGATACTTTGCTGAGCATGATGAGTAACAATATTTTTCTCTTCCTTTTTCCTTTGTTGCTTTACCAATCAGCCTGAAGAAGGTTCTGCTCACTACTTTGTGATGTTTCAGTTGGCCATAATAAATAGCAAACAACATTGGGTATGATTTCTGTATGTAGAAATTATTTCATTGTATTAATAAACAACAAAATGCTTTTCGCTTCAGCAAAAATATGAGCCAGAAATTTTTTTTATATCAGAGCAGTACAGTTTAATTTTTTTGTCTGATAACAATGGATGGGTATGTTAACATTTAATATAGCCCCTAATAGACCCCACCAGGATTTATGTCTTTCATATGTGCTATTTTCAGGTTTGATATTTCCATATAATAATGTATTCACTGAATCTTGAGGCTCATTTAAAAACAAGTTAATGTGATTTCTGACGTAAGTATTTAGGAGCTAAAGCTCACCAAAGAAAGTGTCTTTTAAAGCTGCAGTTGACATTGCAACTCTTCTGGAATAATACCACCAACATTTAAAACCAAGCCCCCTTAACTGATAAATATACAGAACCAGAACCTAAAAATGGTAGCAATACCAATTAGTTTAGAAAGCCACAGATCACTCAGCTTTTCTGTCAGATGGCTGATACAGATTTAGGTAATTTGATGGGTTATAGACATGGGCACAACAAAACTGTTAACTAATTATATTTATTTTATTTAGAAACATGAGGTAACAAAAACTGTAGAAAGTATGGACATGTTGAAAAACTGGAATATTACTTTATTAATTTCAAGCTAGTATATAAACAAGATTCTTTTCTGAATACATCAATAATGAAAGCAATATGAACTATAAATGCTTGCATTTCTTACCTTTAAAATATTCTCTAAGAGTCACCTATTTTGGCTATGTGTTTAAAAGTTTTTTACAACAAAAAACCCTTTGTCAATCAAGTGGGACAGAAATACGAAAGCTATATTCCACTAATCTTTCAAAGAGCTCGTATGTTATCTTCCATCCAAGTGATGTCAAACTCTGAACTGTTAAAATTAAGCTGTTGATAATTTCTGTTCAAGGGGAAATCACAATGGGTTAAGAGGCTTCAATGTGCTATTGAGAACTCTCCGTGCTATTTTCAGATAAAGGTGTTGGTGGCAGTGGGGAAGCCCTGAAACAGATTCACTTAAGGTCAGGCCAAGATGCTGGAGTACTCTTTCTTCTTTTTTTTTGCTGTCAAGTCACAGCTGACTTTTGATGACAACCCCCCCCCATTGGGTTTTCAAGGCAAGAATTGGTTTGCCATTGCCTGCCTCTGTGTAGTGACCCTGGTATTCTTTGGAGGTCTCCCATCTAAATACTAACCAGGGCCAATTCTGCTTAACTTCCGAGATCTGCAAGACTGGGTTCTCCAGGTCAGGGTGGTGTATTCTTAGTTTCAACTGAAATGGGCCCAGGGCACAGAACCCAGAAATCCAGTGTCTGTTCCCCACTCATTTTGAAGCTATTACTCCATCACTAATTGCGAAAATAACTGAGACATGTAAACCTGGCTGCTCTGCATGATTTCATTATTCAGATGTTTCTGGAATGGCTACTAGGTCTAGCAGCCCATATTGCTCTGAAGTCTCATTAATAGAGGAACCCTTTCTCCTAATTGTTGTTACTTTTTTGCATCTTTGCCTGCTGTACTATGACATTTTGGGAATGGCATCTGTGGCTACTATCAGAATATATAATACTGATCTATAGGACCACTGTGTCAATATCACAATTTTTTTCCTTATCATCTCTACAATATAATATTGCTACCAAATACATGTCCCTCATTTTATTTATTTTACTTATTTCATTTATACCTCACTTTTCTCCCCAGTAGGTGCCCAAAAGTGGCTTACAACATTCTTCTGTTCTCCATTTTTTGGTGATTTTTATTTACTTAGACATGCACTTGAAGAGAAAATACTCGTAAATATGCCAGAAATTTAAATTCATTGTGACCTGAAAATCAAACTGTATGGGTAACACGATGAGTCATATATGCTTACATTACAGCATTACAATGACAATAAATACTACTCTCAGCCTCAAAGCCACTGGCCATAGTT